AGGACAGCCCTGTGTTTGCCAGCTTCCAGAAGCTCCGTGCCCAAGAGCCAATCAGATGGGCCGAGACTCACCAGACAGCGGCTGCAGTCCGGGCCCGAGACAAAGCGCTTGCAGCGGCAGGCCCCGCTGGAGGGGTCGCAGGCCTGCGCACCAGGGCCCCAGCCCCGGGGGTCGCACCTGCAGGCTAAGGGATGGGGGGCGCGTGTGTGATGAGGGCAGTGACTGCAGAGCCAGGAGGACGTGGGGGTGGGCCACTCTTAGGTCACTCACGCTGGCAGCCCTCGGACAGGGGAAGGCTCAGGCCATAGTGCCCGGGCCGGCGGGAGCCACAGCGCCGGCCCCCGACGTTGGCTTTGCAGTGACACTGCCCAGAGAGGAGGCTGCGGGTCTGGCCGGTATGGGTGTCACACAAGCCGCCATCCAGGGCGCCCACAGGGTCACAGTCGCAGGCTGGGCAGGGTCAGTGAGGACAGTTAGGGGCGGTCCCCCTGGAGGGGAAGGGTCGCTGGGGTCGGGGGCTCACGTTTGCAGGAGTGAAGGGAGCGGGGGTCTGCCCGGGGGTCTCGGTGAAAGAAGGGCTGGCAGAGCTCGCAGTGGGCACCAGCTGTGTTGTGTTGACACGCGTCACACACGCCCCCACTCACGTTGCCAGATGCCAGGTACAGGGCCATGTCAAAGTGGCAGCTGCGGGCATGCCCATGGCACTGGCATTCTGGGGAAGAATGAGAAAGGTGGGTATGGAGTGGGCTGCCATGGCCAGGAAGGCCAGGCTGTCGGGTATGGCACCTACCCCAGCAGGCATGGGGGTGCCTAGGCTCTGCCGCATGCCAGGGGTGGTCCTGGTATAGGTCCTGGCAGCACTCACAGTGGGTGCCAGCTGTGTGGTGGCGGCAGACACAAAGGCCATGCACCTGGCAGGAAGGAGGGAGGCTGAGCAGCCCCGTGCCCCGCCTGCCCACCCCCCGCCACAGGATGCCCCGCCCTGGCGCTCACCATGCCTTCCGTGCTGGCGGGAGCCCCGGGCACAGGCCTGCACTCGGAGGCATGGCCGTGGCACAGGCAGCTGCCTCCGGCCACGAGCTCATAGAGGGCATAGTAGTAGAAGGGGTGTCCCCTGAGGCCCCCCCGGGGGCCTGCCACCCAGGGTGTGCAGTTTGGAGAAGTTCACACGGAGGTTAGTCACACGCAGGAGTTCTGGAGGCACAGATGGAGGCCTCAGGCGGCCAGTCCTGCCTCCACGGCTGGGGGGTGTCCTCCGCTCTGTCACCGCAGCCACCTCCTCCAGCCCCCCTGCTCCTCTGGGTACACGTCAGGACGACCTAACGTGGCAGCCCCATCTGCACTGCTCCAGCCCCGATACCACTGAGTGGAGCCCTCTGCGTCCCCGCTTCCTGGACACCCGTCCACATCTCTGCTTGGAACCTGCTTCCCCACCCATTGTCCAGACCCTGCAAGGCACTGGTGTGCTTATCAGCTGTCTGCTCCCCGCCTACGGCCCCATTCCTGCCCATGACTGTTCCCCACGCTGTGCCCACTGCTTAGGGACTGGCATGAGCAGGTTTCCGTCTCTGCCCAGAAGACACCGGCCATGCAGGGGCCTTGTTAGATGCACAGGCTGATGGCCCAGGCTCCTCTTGCTCCACAGCTTGTCAGGTACCTGCCAAGGCCACCTCCTCTCCTTCGCCAGGTTTCCCTTCCTCCTGACTAAGGGATGGGAAACAGCTGCGCCGGGACCCAGTGTGGGGGTTCGGGGGAGTAGCTAGCAATCACCGTCAAGGTGGGTGGAGAGTGGGAGAAAGAGCTAATTTGGGTTCATCCTGTGTTACTGCCTGGCCTGGCTCTGGGCCACCCTGAAGTATGTGTCTCTCTTGTTTGTTTGTTTTAAATATATGTTTACTGATTTCAGAGAGGAAGGGAGAGGGAGAGAGAGAAACATCAATGATGAGAATCATGGATGGGCTGCCTCTTGCAGCCCCCACTGGGGATCGAGTCCGCAACCAGGGCCTGTGTGGGAATGGAACCATGACCTCCTGGTTCGACCCTCAACCACTGAGCTCTCTTGCTCTTTAACAGGCTCTCTTGCCCCTGCTTTACGAGGGCTCCCCGAGATGCCCTGTCCTTACCCAGAGGCCGCTGCGCGATGTAGGGCGCCAGCTAAGGCGAGAATGGTGACTCAGAGGGGCGGGCGTGAGCGGGGCCATGCTCGGAGCAGTGATGGGGGCTCCCAGGGGAGTTGGGAGGTAGTGACAGGAGCAGAGACATGAGGCTGGGAGGGGCGGAGGGGGGCAGCAGTGACGGGGACCACATGGGCCCCATGAGACTAATGACGGGGCAGAGATTAAATTGCTACCCGTGCCGGTGGGCAGTGAAGAGGCAGGCATGGAGGCCACAACAGGGACAAGAGGACAGTGACTGAGCTGGCCCCAGGAGGGACTCCCCTCCCTGTTCCCGCCGCCTCACAGGCCTGGCTAGAATTACCCTGCATCTCGGGGTCGTGTGGGCTCTCCATCAGGAGGCCTGGGTCCAGAACTTGGAAAATGACCTGAGGAAGAAGCAAGCCTGAGCCTCTGGCTTCACCACCACCCTCCCGCCTCCCCTGGGCCTGACCTTGCCCTCGGTGGAAGGCTCAATGTCTGAGTAACGCTGGTCACACACGAGATTGCTGGCACTACGGCCCGGGGCCCGAGCGACACCAGGGAAGAGGCCTGAGCAGTTGTGGGCAAAGTACCGGCACACACGCCAGGAGCGGCCGTGGTCCACCGAGCGCTCCAGGGTCAGCGCTGCTGGGCGGAAGGTCTGGGGACAGGAGGGGTCCTCGGTCACCAGGGGCAAGCACCACAGGTGGCGCGAGGACAGGAGGCACACGGCCCGCCTCCAGGCGGGGCAGCGGGCACCTTGAAGGTCCTGACGAGGTGGGTGAAGCGGAACGCACTCCCTAGGTCTAGCTGGATGGTGACGTTTTCAACACCTGCAACCACAGGCTGGTCAGCGACCCGACGTGGCCCCAGACCCCGCCCAGGCACTCCAACACCCTCACCACTCTCACCACGCCACCAGGTCTGGTTGCCACAGCCACCACTCCAGGATATCATTCTCAATGCCATGGCCACCCCGGTCCCCGTCCCGCGTCACAAAAGCAGCAATGCTGAGTCCTGGGTGTCGGAGGGAGGGGGAGGTGCATGGCGGTAGCCCCCCTCCAAAGTATCACAGCTCCGCCTCTCCCTCCAGCCCCCAGTGACCTGACCCCCCAGGCCCAGCTCCCAGGAAGGCGGAGGTACCTGGTGCAGAGGCCTCCCCCGCGCCCCCGCCTGGGGGTGACTGACAAGGCAGTAGTGCTCAGGGCCACGGCATCCACAGGTGGATGAGCTACGAAGGCTCTGGCTGCGACCCACTACCAGGTCCCCAGTGGGCGGGTAGCAGCTGCCGCTCGGGCAGCCAGGCGGGGTCAGTGTGTCTGGCACTTCCTGGGCAATTGTTCTGGGAGCCTGGACTGGGAGGGGAGGTCTGAGTGGGGATCCTAGGGGCTCCCCCTCCAACCCCCCCCCACCGGGCGGCCTGAAGACTTCTCACCCAGGGGCCGTGGCAGCGGCGGCGGCAGCACTGAAAGGGGGCCTGGGCCACCTGGGGGGCCTGGGCGGTGGGTGCTGGGATCACGCCTGAGAGAGAGGAGGAGAGTGGGCCCCACGCCAGCCCCTTGAGGAGCTGTGGCCCCTGGGCCATTCCCCATACTCACATGGTGGGTGAAAGCAGGGCCACCGAAGGCAAGCGGCGAGCAGGGCTGTGGGGCCACCATGCAGCGGGGAGCAAGGGGTCCCCAGAGCCAGGGAAACCAAGGAAGTGGGCGCCCAGGGGAAGGATGCAAGGTGGGGAGGGGCACAGGAGCCCGCCGAGCGAGCTTCTGCAAGTCCAGCTCGCTAGCAGGGCAGGCAGAGCAGCTGGGGCTCAGACTAACCAGACAGGAAAGGCCCCATTCTCATTCAAATGAGGCCACCCCAGCCCTGAAAGGCGGTCTCCAGGGGCCTCCTGGGAATGCCTCCCCAGCCAGCCCCAGCCACTGGCTTCAGGCTGGGCAGCCAGCAAGACTGGCAGATGGGCAGGGAGAGTTTTGTTCCGGGCCAAGCCCAGCCCCTCCTCCAAAGCAGGGAGAGCTGATGGTATCTGAAACGCACAGCCGGTGGACAGAGCGCAGAGCCCGGACCCCAGGAAGCACTGTTCCCGGGGTCAGTGGGGATGCGGCAGCCACAGACCAAGGAGAAAACTGCTTCATCAGGGAGGGCGGACTGTGGCCCTACAACCGGAGCTCTGACCTCTGACTCAACCCCAATCGTCGCTAACTGGGGAAATCAAGGCTAGCCGCTCTTCTGGAAGGAGCAAGGGGAGCAGGGGCAGAGGTACGCCAGCCATTTTAGGCCCAAAGAACCCAGGCAAAGCCCGGAGTTTCAGCCAAAGTCAGGCTGCCCCATCACCCTGGGGAGCAGGACCACAAAGCCCCTTCCGTGGCCTGGAAACCGGCACGTGGCCTGGCTCCCCCAGCTTCCCATTTCCCTCCTGCCTGGGTCCAAGCTGGGTTACACACCACCTGAGTGGCTCTGCCTTGCCCTGAGGAGCTGCCCTGCACCAGAGGGCAGGGTATCCAGAGGGCAGGGCCCGGTGGCCCATCACTCACAGGGTGACCCGCCCCCGGCTACCGGGACCCCCCTGGCTTCTGGCCCTGGGAGCTCAAGCTGCCTCCCGCAGCCACACAGACACGGACGGCAGGCGGGAGACCGGGAGGTGGAAAGGTATAAAACGTGATGGATGGAACGTGGACATACAACCTGAAGAGCAGCAAGTCACAGTGCATTGTCCCCCCGCCCCCACCCCCCTATCTGGAAGGCTGGTGGCCTGCAGGGCCCTGGGGAGGCGCCTCGAGTCCTCGGGTTGTGGAGTCCACAGGCATTGCACTGTGCCCTGACCACGCCGACAGCCGGACTCAGTCCCCGAGCGGGGCCGTGGAGAGGTCAGGGCCCCGGGCACGGCAGCAGGGGCTGGAGGCGGATCACAGGGGACAGGTTCACACGGAGGGCGCGCTGGGCCTGCCGCCGCACCTCGTCGTCCGAGGACCGCCTGTCCACCTTGATGGCCTGGAACGTCAGGAGCTCCGATGTCCCAAGACGTAGGCGAGCCTTAGGGCCGCGGGCCCCCAGCCGCGTCCTCTTCCGGGGAAGGTCTTTTGCCTCCTCAGTCCTCTTCCTCTTCTGCCCCACAGACCCAGGGCTGCTCTTCTGGCCTTTCCTTGCGGTCCTGGCCTGAACAGAGCCTTTCACGCAGTCCCGGCCCCGGCCCCTGGGCTGGGTCCGCGCCGCCTGGGCTTTGGCCTTGATCCATGCTGCTTTGGCCTTGGCACGTGTGGCCTTGGCCTTGACCTGCACTGCCTTCGTCTTTGCCCGGGCCTTGGCAGCTTTAGCCTGGGTGTGAGCCACCTTGGCCCGGGCACAGACGGCTCTGGCCAGTGTCTGTGCTGCCTTGGCTTGGGCTGTCTTGGTGCCCGAGGCAGACACCCCTTGCGTCTGTGGGCCAAGGAGGGATCCGGCGGCTTTGCAGGTCTTGCTCTGAGGCCCAGCGCTTTCTTGGGGTCCAGCCCTGGGGCCTCTGCGAATCGCACACTTGGGGCTCTTGCTTGTGACTTTCCTGGGAAGCCCCAGCCCCTTTCCCGGGCCTTTCCGTAGCTTCAGGGGAGAGTCCGCGAGGGAGAGCTGCAGGGGCTGTGTCTTGTGCTTGGCACCCAAGCGGGGCATGGGAGTCTTGAGTGGAACCAGGGCCTCGAGGACAACGGAGAGCCGCATGGCAGGGTAGACACCTGGATAGAGGTGGGTGGGGAAGCCCATTGCCGTGCCCCGGGCATGGCTGGCACTGGACTCCTTCAGGGAGCTCAGGAGCAGGTTGGTGGTAGCATGCTTGGTAAGGGCTGGTGTGGACGCTTTGGCCAGCCTGCCAGACAGCGGCACGGGAAGCAGCGTGGCCCGGCCGGCAGGCAGCCGCATCGCAGTTCGGGGAGCACCGGCTGGAGGTGACGTGGTGGCTGGGATGGGGGCGCGAGCATGCAGCTTCGTCTGGCTTGGGGGTTTGGCCGTGCACGAACTGTAGCCGTAGACGTCACCGCTGCGCAGGACGGTAGGCTGGAAGCCATCATCTCGCAGGCCCTGCAGGAAGGCCACCAGCTGGGCCTCTGTGGCGCTCAGATCCTGGCTCATGGGGTTAAAGACCAGCAGCGCCTCCTCCAGGGCCTTCTTCCCTGCCGTGGAGATCCGGGACCACGCGTGCACAGCTTTCTCTTCCACATGCTGCGCCACGCTCATGGCATTGGCACTGCAGGGCTGACCGGGTTCTCTGCACACCAGCGCTCGGCACCTCCAAGGCAAGAGGACACAGTCAGTGAGAACATGGGCAGTCAGGGCCCGCACTCTCCAGAGTACCCATTGACAGGCCTGGCCAGAGGGAGCGTCTCCATGAAGCAAAACGTTCTCCTGACCCTGCTGGCTGCAGGGTGGGGGCTGGGGGTGGGAGGACCCAGGTGGGTCAGAGGCAGCTCCTCAGAGCCACCCACCTGCTGTTGTGTCCCTGGCGAGGCCAGCCTGTTTTAATTCAAGTTTGTATTTCCTGAAGCCAGAAAGCTGGCATTAGACTCAGCCCTGGGACACGAGTGACTAGCGGTCCTCAAGGAGCCCTGCACAGAAGGCAGGACAGACGCCACCGAGGTGGCGGAGGGCACAGCGGAGCCAGCTTCGCTCCCCAGGGCTCAGGAGAGGTTCCTGGGACACGAGTGATGGCTAGGAACGGACCCGATGGCAATGCAAGGGGAGCAGCCTATGTGATGGCTCCCGCATGAGAAAGGGTGACGCCTTGTGTGGCTGGAGTCTGTGGTCAGGGCTGGGAGGTTGAGAACGAAATGACAGGGGAAGCAGGACAACACAGCCTTGAATGCAGCCAAGGTCCAGACCTTCCCCACGTCCATGCCCACTTCTGTCCCTCAAGCTGCAGCTAGTCAGGAGCCCGAAACCCTCCCTACAGGCCACGTGGAGGCCCTGGAATGGAGTCATGGAGACCAGCCAGACCCCTTCAACAGAGACGGTGAGCAGCACATACTAATGACACAGCCCTAGGCAGGCAGGCAGCCCGGGCCGAGCAGCCAGACCAAGAGCCCCGGTGTCACAGCGGGAACAAGGCGCCAAGCCGGCGGCAGGGAGGTGGGCGCGGGCAGGGGGGTGGGCGCAGGCAGGGGGGTGGGCGCGGGCAGGGGGGTGGGCGCGGGCAGGGAGGTGGGCTTAGGCAGGGGGGTGGGCGCGGGCAGGGGGGTGGGCGCGGGCAGGGAGGTGGGCGCGGGCAGGGAGGTGGGCGCAGGGACCAGCGCTGTCCACGCGAGGGGGCGGAGGGCCGACCTGGGCGCAGGCAGGGGGCTGCCCGCCCGTGCAGAAGCCGCCCGCTGTCGGTGTAACAGGTCGGCTCTCCGGGTGAGGCGGGCGCCCTGGGTGAGGCGGGCGCCCTGAGGGCCGCCCTGTTGGCAAACGCCCGGACCCTCAGGCGTGGCGGGCACTCCCTCTCGGAGGCCGGGGCGCACGTGGCCGCGGTGCTCACTTTCCGGGGTGCAGCTCGGGGTGTGAAGCTCAGAGCCGAGGGGCTCGGACCCCAGCCACAGGGACGGGGGAGACCCGGCTGCCCCTTCGCCCAGGTCGGGCTGCCCTGGCGAGTGTGGCTTTCCGAGAAGCGCCAGGACGGGGCTCGGACCCCGGCCACAGGACCAGGGAGACCGCTGCCCTGCGGGGTCTTGGGGGCTTTGCGGGCTCCGGAGGGGCGCCGGGCCCCGAGCTCCCGCACCCCCGCCCCGGGCCGCGGGAGCGGGCGGCGGGAGGAGGGAGGCCCCGCCACGGCCGGGCGGCGGGCTGGGAGCCCGGGTCCGGGTCCGAGGCGCGGGGTCTGAGGCGGGGGACGCGGGGCCAGCCCGGCGGTGCGCAGCCGCGGGGGCCGCGGGGGCGGGGGCCGCGCTGGGGCGGCGGGGCCTCCGCCCTCCCGCCTCGCGGGCTCCCCCTCCGGCGCGGCCAGGCCACGGCCCCAACCTACCGGCGCCGCCGCGGGGACCCAGGACGCACCTCTGCGCCGCCTCCGCTGCTCCAACATGGCCGCCCGCTGGGCGCCGGAAGTGCGCTGCGCTTCCGCTTCCGGGACTTGGCCCGCCCTGGTGACCCTTGACCCCAGACCCTGGTTTCCCCCAAGTTGGAGGGCGGGGCCGGTGGGCATGGGGAGATGGGGGGGGGGGGCTCCCGGAGGAAGTAGCCGCGGGGCTGCCTGTGCTGGAGCCTGAGGAGGGGCTGTGCCCCCTCCAACACCAGCCAGGGGGCCAGGGGCTGGATAGGGCTCTGCGAGCTGGGAGGCTGGCCCTCTGTCCCCAGGTGCCCGGGGAGCTTTCCTCGGAGCACAGTGACTGGACTTTGGCGGGTGCTTACCCCAGAGGCATAACTGGGATCGGAGCGGGTGATGGGGTCATCCCCAAACCCATGCCTTGCTCTCGTTTGGCATCTCGTTTGCTGGGCCCTAGACCCACACCCACCTGGGCAGAGGGGCCTGGTGAGATGTAGGTATGAGTGAGGCCAGGGGCCTGAGCAGGTCAACCCCAGAGGGAGAAGCAAGGGCAGGTCTTGGGGGGCCGCTTCCCGGGGATGGAGAGTACGCAGGGCTGGTGGAGGCTCAGAGACAGCACAGAAGCAGGAGGATCCCGGCGACATTTGGCTGAGACACCGACCCCTGAGGTTTTGGCTCATGGTCTCCCATGGTGACTGTGGCAAGAGCAGCCTCGGGGAGCAGTGGCAGCAGACATGAGGTGGGACTGTGTGGACAGATGGCTTCAAGAGTTTGACTGGCGGGAGGAAGAAGAGGCTGGAGGGACTTTGGTGCTGGGAGGTCTAAGGCCAGGAGGCTCTAAGTGCTGAGTTGCTGGAAAGGAGAGGGGAGGGGCCTAGAAGGGGGGAGTGGGGGATGAGAAGGGTGTGTAGAGCAGTGTGGACAACCTGAGGAGGAAGGGAACAGAGCTCACAAGTGGTGAGCAAGTCGGGGGCCAAGTGGAGTGGGAGGACAGAAGCCTGGCCAGGATCTGTAACAGGAAATGCACCACCGTTTCTCCAGCTGCCGGCCTCTGACAGTGGCTGCGGACTCTGCTCGTGGACAAGGCTCTGCCCACACTCTGGGGCCTAATGTGAGGCCAGTGCCCACACTGGCCCGGCGGGCCTTGGTCCCAGCTGCTGGCAGTGCTGTCTTGCTCATGACACATCTTTGCCAGCTGCTTCCCCTCTCCCGGCCACTCCTGGCGCTGCGTCCTGCCTCGCCTCCTTCATTGACTGCGTGCACTTGCACCTTTGTGTCCAGGTGTGTTTCCAGACACTGTCCATGGTGGAGACAGGACGCAGCAAGCACACACGCCCAAGGACCCCTTCTTCGTTCTTTAACATTATTTATTTATTTATTTATTAAATATATTTTATTGATTTTGTACAGAGAGGAAGGAAGAGAGAGATAGAGAGTTAGAAACATCGATGAGAGAGAGTCATCGACCAGCTGCCTCTTGCACACCCCCTACTGGGGATATGCCCGCAACCAAGGTACATGCCCTTGACCGGAATCGAACCCAGGACCCTTCAGTCCCCAAGCCGACGCTCTATCCATTGAGCCAAACCGGTCTCGGCTTTAACATTATTTATTGATTAGAGAGAGAGATTTGTTGTTCTGCTCACGTATGCATTCATCAGTTGATTCTTGTATGTGCCCTGGCCGGGATCGAACCTGCAATCTTGGTGAATCAAGATTGGGTGACACTAACCAACTGAGCTAATGGGCCAGGGCAGGATGGCTCCTTCTCGGCAGCCCTGGACCTGTACGAACGCCTGCCAGCTCCCAGACTCAGCCAGTGCTCTGAGTGCTCAGAGTTGGGCAGCTCTGGTCTGAGACGGGTAGTCCTTTGTCTGCCGACTTGCCATCGCTCCACCCCAGTGTTGATTGGAGGCGGGGCCAGGACCCTGGAAATGGACCTTCAAAATGACTGGGAACAGCCAGCCCCAGGCCCTGCAGAATGAGGCCGAATGCTCTGCCTGGAAGGTCCCTTGGCCTCTGACTCTTCAAGTTCATCCCCCGTCAATTCACCTCGCCCACCCTCACCTCCCCACGCAGGCCACAGAAAGGCCGTCAGGACTGAGGACAGCGCTCCCACTCCGCGGCCCCCGTGCCTGGCCTATTGGGACCTGCTCGGTGCTGCTAGGTGCCTGGGGAGGGCCCCTCAAGACGCCGCACCCCGAGATCAGGCCACGCCCCAAGGGACCTCCGGGAGGCGCCGCTGGGAGCCAATGGTCGCTCCTCCAATTCACGGCAGTGGGCGCCCCGCCCCTCAAGCCCGGGTTCTGCAGGCCCCTCGCCCTTCCCTCCGCCGGCTGCTCCCGGGGTCCGCTGGGAAGGCCCCCCCCACACACACACGTGCGTGCTGCTCCCGCCGCCACCCTCCCCGCCTAGGGTCGGACCCCACTTCTGGGCAGGCCCGGTGTCCTCTCGTCCATCTCTCCGTCCACCCGTTTGCGTGTGACCGCGGCAGGCGCGCCGCAGCCGTGGCAGGTGCAGGGTTAAGGTGGGGGTGGGGGAGGTGTCCCCAGTCGGGAGGGGGAGAGGCGGACCCCGTCCAGCCCCGCCCCGCGCCGGAACCGAGCCAGAGCCCCGCGGAGCCCCGCCGCAGCCCCAGCCAGAGCCCGAGCCGCGGAGCCCCAACGCCGGACCCCGCACCCGAGCGCCCCGGAGCCCCGGCCGGTGAGTCCCGCGGGAACTGGGGAAGTTTGGGGCGCGGGGTGAACCCCAAGCGGGCTCGCCGGGACCCGCCCCCCGCCCTCCCGGGAGCTGGAAGTTTGGGCTGGGCTCTGGTGCTGGGGTCCAGGAGTGTGGCCCCTCCAGAAGCAACAGGCCAGGGACGTGGGGTTTGCTGTGAGGGGCCGAGGGGTCGGTGCCCGGTTCTGCGGAGCCGCCTCCTCCCCTGCGTGCACCCGGGAGGCCACCTCAGGGCCTGGGTGGAGGAGCTGCTGAGGGCGGGCGGACCTCAGAGGAAAAGGGGGCGGCCTCCGGGCCCACCCCCTGATGGTGGCCTTTGCTGGTGGGAATGCGCGCCCAGAGGGGCGGGCGCTCTGGAGCTGGGCCCTGGCCGCAGGGGGAGACAGAGGGCTGCCCGGGGCACAGAGGAAGCCGGGCAGGGGCAGGAGTCCGCCCCAGAGGGAGAGCCGGGCCTGTCACCTGCCTCCCATCCGACCCAGGTGTGACCGGGAGCTGAGGCGCTGGGCAGGACTCCGCCTCCCGCGCCCTCCCCGCCTCGCCCTGAGCTGGGCTCGGAGGTGGAGCAGCGCCCAGGCTGCCTGTCTGAGTAGGACCAGCTCTTCCCTGCCGCCCATTCCTCCTCTGAGGCCAGGAGGGTGGCCAAGGACTCTCCTGGTTATAAACAGTCTGGGGCGGGGAGCGGGGATGAGGGTGAGCAGGGGCAGGGGGCGGGAGGGAATCCCTCAGGTCCATGGGAGGGGGGCGTTGCCTGGGGTCTGGGAGCTGCGCCCCTGCCCCTCCAGGTGGGTGGGCTTCCACGGTGGCTTGCTAGCCAGCCAGGCCCCCCCCCCCCGCCTTTCCCACTGGGGATTCTGGGCCCTGAGCTACAGGCTGCTACTGGCCTCGGAGAGCAGCCGGCGGCCTGACCCTGCCCCCTCTCCTCCAGGAGGAGGCCGTGCCCTGGGCCGCGGACACCCCTAACCTGGCGGTCAGGATGAGGCCGGCATCGCGAGGCCTGCAGCCGGAGCAGTAGCGCGGCCTGCCAATGAGGTGATCGCCATGGCCGCAGGGAGTAGCCGGGCCTTTGCCTGGCAGGCGTTCCCACCCATGCCCACGTGCCGGGTGTACGGCACGGTCGCACACCAGGACGGGCACCTCCTAGTGCTGGGGGCTGTGGCCGGGCTGGCCTGCCTCTGGACACTGCTGAGACCCTGGACATGGCCTCACACAGGTGGCTGGCACTGGCACCCCTGCCCACTGCTCGGGCGGGTGCGGCCGCTGTGGTGCTGGGCAAGCAGGTGCTGGTGGTGGGAGGTGTGGGTGAGGGCCAGAGCCCAGTGGCTGCCGTGGAGGCCTTCCTGGCCGACCAGGGCGGCTGGGAGCGACGGGCCGCCCTGCCGCAGGCCGCCATGGGCATCGCCACGGTGGAGAGAGGTGAGTTGCTCCCCAAGGAAGGCTCTTGGTGCCCACGTCCTTCATTTTCCCACCTGGCTCCTTCCCTGAGAGCCGGGCAAGAGCTGTTGCTTCAGCCTGGGTGCCTGGGCAGGGCTCTGCCTCCTGTGCGCACCCCCCCCCCCCCCGCCTCGCTCTGAGTGGGCTGCGAAGCCCTCAGCTGCCTTTCTCAGCTGTGAGGTGGGAAGACCAGCACTTCCTGCCCTGTCCACTCCTCTTCTTCAGGGACAAGGGGGCAGCCAGTGACCCTCCCGGTTATAAATAGTCTGGGGAGCAGGTGGGAGCAGAGGCTTGGCTCAGGCCCGACAAAACTATCCCCTCCACACACATCAGGGGGCCTGAGTGGACAAAGGCCAACCTGCTAGGGGACAGTTGCTATGGAAGCGCCCAGCTGACTGGCCTGTCCCCTCCAGGCCCCCTGACATGCCCCCAGCTGACCTTGAAGACATAAGAGGGCAAGAACTTACTCTAGTGAAAAGGTGGGGTGCAGAGGTGCTGGTGGGGCTCCTGGGCAGAAGGCTTGTGGCCAACACTCCTCTCCTGTAGGCCCAGCCCTTCTTCCAACCCCCCAGCTGGTCCCCCCAACCCGGGCTTAAACCATCCTCCAACCATCTTCCCCAGGGGGCCCCATCTTGTGGTCTCCAGGTCTGACCAGGTCTGCTTCTGCCTGAATGCCAGACTTGGTTGCCATAGCATCTCCAGGGAGACGGAGACAGGTTATAATTAGATCTGCTGCCTCCTGCTCTCCACTGGGAGGGGCCCTGGCCAGGGCAGGAGTCCTGGTTCTCCCAGTGCCCCCTCCAGGCAGGCGGAAGGGTCTTTCCATAACATGGGTCCCCAGCCTCCCCGGGGCAGTTGTCGGGGTGGGGTGCGCTGGAGTCTGGGGTGCTGTCTGCACCGCTCTTTGCTGTGCAGATGGTCTGGTGTATGCTCTGGGCGGAATGGGCTCGGACACAGCCCCCCAGGCCCAGGTTCGAGTGTATGAGCCCCGCCAGGACTGCTGGCTCTCGCTGCCTTCTATGCCCACGCCCTGCTACGGAGCTTCCACTTTCCTGCACGGGAACAAGATCTATGTGCTGGGTAAGGACCTGGCTGGGGGAGAGGGGCCCGGAGTCCAGAGCCCCCACCCTGTGAGTGGCTAGAATCAGGCTGAGTTTGGGGGGCAGGACAAGGCGGCTTTGTTGGGGTGAGCCAGGCTTGCTCCGAGGCTCCAACACCTGGCCCTGCTGGAACTGGAAAAGCAAACTCCAGAGCCCGGCAGCCGAGGGTGGGTGACCAGGAGCGGGCAGCGCCCAGGCTCAGCCACCTGGTGGGAGAGGCACCTGCTTGCGCCCAGGCTCCCGCCCAGCGCCTGCTGCCACCGCAGGGGGCCGCCAGGGCAAGCTCCCCGTGACTGCCTTTGAGGCCTTCGACCTGGAGGCTCGGACCTGGACCCGGCACCCAAGCCTGCCCAGCCGCCGGGCCTTTGCTGGCTGCGCCATGGCCGAAGGCAGCGTCTTCAGCCTGGGGGGCCTGCAGCAGCCTGGGCCCCACAACTTCTACTCGCGCCCACACTTCGTCAACACTGTGGAAACATTCGACCTGGAGCACGGTGAGCAGGGCCTGGGCGTCCTCCCGCGTGAAAGGCCTGTGGGGCAGCCCTGACCTCCCCTCCCCGTCCCTCCCCTGCAGGCTCCTGGACCAAGCTGCCCCGCGGCCTGCGCATGAGGGATAAGAGGGCTGACTTTGTGGTCGGCGCCCTGGGGGGCCACATCGTGGCTGTGGGGGGCCTTGGTGAGTGCGGGCTGGGAGGGGAGGGCGCCCAGGGCAGGAAGGAGCGACCTCCAGCGTGAGCACCACCTGCCGTCTCTGCTCGGGGCTTATGAGCTTCCCTCCAGCGTGAGCACCACCTGCCGTCTCTGCTCGGGGCTTATGAGCTTCCCTTTCCAATGTGGGAGCCAGCAGGGCGGTCGGATCTGGGGTTTCCTCAGCCCCTGACTCAGTTGGTGGCAGCGGATAGATATAGGAACTCGCACACGGGAGGATGGTGGATGGGCACGGCAGCAAGGCCGACAGTCCATCCTGGGCGCCGCCTCCGGCCACACTCGGGGTTCAGGGGAAAAGAGGGGGTGCCCCTGCAGCCTGTGCCCTTCCAACCGTGTCTCCTCCTGCAGGAAACCAGCCGTGCCCTCTGGGCTCCGCGGAGGGCTTCAGCCTTGCCCGGAGACGCTGGGAGGTGCTGCCTGCCATGCCCACAGCCCGCTGCTCCTGTTCCAGCCTGCAGGCTGGGCCCCGGCTGTTTGTCATCGGGGGCGTGGCGCAGGGCCCCAGCCAGGCCGTGGAGGCTCTGTGTCTGCGTGATGGGGTCTGAATGCCTGGAGGACCTTCCCACGGGAGCAGCTCAGGGCCAGAGGCAGCTACCGTGGCTCCCAGTGCTGCAGAGGGAGCTCTGTGGCTCCGAGGGATGCGGGAGGCAGGGCGTGGGCCCTGGGACACGGCCTGGGCTGTGACACTGCCTCGGGATGGGGCGGGAGGCATCATCCTTAGCATAGGGTGTCCATACGCTTCCACCCCTCACCCTCATTCACTCATAGGCCAGGCCTCGCTCCACCCTGGCTCTGGCACCTACTGGGCCTTCTGTCCGACTGGGAAGCGGGGGAGGGGGAGCTGGAGTTGACAGGCCTTCCCCAGTGACTATTCCTGCCTTGGAGGCCCCAAGAGAACTGGAGAGGGTGGGGGACATGGAGGGAATGGAAGAGGGAGCGCAGGAACCTCCAAAGGGTCAAAACGTTAGCTCTGTGCCCTCTACACTGTCGGCCGTGAGACCTGGGCCAGTCACGTCACCTCTGTGCCTCAGCATCCTCACTAAACGGGGATCTCCGGGACCTTCCTGCCCGCCCACCTCACAGGGCTGTTGTGAGGACGCGGGGCATTCAGACGTGGAAGTAAAAATGCTGCTAAAACCTGTGCGTGGCCCCGGTGGACTCCTCTGTCACCCGCAGCCCGTCCTCCTGGGGCCCCAGCTCTCCAAAGGACAAGGGTCCAGAAGAGCCTTTAGACCGGCCGCTGCCCGGTGTCCTGGTGTCTCAGCCCTCCTAAGCCTCAGATTCTCCGTGGGGACCCGGGACGGCCGCTGTCCCCACGACCCGGGGGTCCACAGGACGAGCAGACAAGAGTGCAGAAAACAACCACACACCGTGCGGCCAGGGCACCTCCGGCCTGGGCCTCGGCGTCTCCCAAAGCCCTGCTGCCTGCAGAGGCCCATGGATGCGCGGCCCGTCTCCCTCCGTCGCGCTGCAGGAAGCGGTCTCCCAGGCGGGGCTATGGCCACCCGCCAGACCCTAGAGGCGAAGTCTCGCAGAGAAAGCCAAGCTGCTGGCCCTTGCCTCATCAGGCTGCACTGCCCGGCCCAATGGTTAGGGCCATGGGCTCTGGTTTTCTGTAGTCACTGCATGAAAGGCTCACAGCTGGGTCTGCTACAAGAATGGATTTGGGGTCTCAGAACCCATCTGCTGAGGCCATGGTAACCCTCCGGACCCTTAGCCTCCTGCTGGCTGTACCCCTTCCCACTCAATGGCAGAGCTCCCAAGGCAACATGGCACCTGCCCAGCACAGAGGCACCAGGCACCAGTGCCATAGGCGTTGGGCGTAAGGCCTGGCTGTGTCTTGCTGCGCTCCAGCCTCTGCACCATCCTGGGCTACAAGCACAGGCCAGGAGGCCTTGGTGTCAGCCATTCTTTTTTGTTCATTCTCACCAGAGGGTATTTCTCCATTGATTTTTAGAGAGAGTGGAGACACAGAGAGAAACACCAATGTGAAAGACATACATCAATTGGCTGCCTCCCACATGCACCCCAACTGGGACCAGAGCTCAAGCCTGCAACTGAGGTACATGCCCCTGAGGTACGTGCCATTGACTGGAATCAAACCCACGACCCTTTGGTCCGCAGGCTGACGCTCTATTCACCGAGCCAGCCGGCCAGGGCCTCAGCCATTGTTTAATGCTCTGGACCAATTTAGACACTCGGAGACCCCGGCATGGAGGTAATGCTGCAGCCGTTTGGGCGTGGGGATCTTTGGGAGGTTAGTCGGCGGGCTGGGGCTGGGGGCCTGGGGGTCCCCGCTGTCGCCGCCACAGAGGCCGCTCTGGGACGGCTGGCAGAAGTTCTGCTGGTAGGTGGTACGGGTGCGGGGAGACTGGATCTGCACAAAGTGGACGAGGCGCTGAGGGGGGTCACTGGGTCCTGGGCTTAAGCGGAAGGTGGACTGGTAGGAGGATTCCAGGGGCCGCTGCTGGCACAGCTCCAGCTCGCTGGAGGCCCACTGCAGGAAGGTGTGCTTCTGATACAAGCGGGCCAAGTCTTTCCGCCTCCCGATGCCCTGCAGTAAGCAGTAGGGACCCTCCTCAGCGGTATGGGCCCTTGGCCCACAGTCCTGGCGTCAGGCTTTGCCTTGGGTGCCCCCTAGAGCCCATCCCGCCCGGTGATGCCTGGCCCAAACCCCTGACTCTATTCCGAGTGAGGCTCAGAAAGGCAGCGGCCCTGGGCCACTTGCACAGTCAGGCAGGCAGGCTGGCAGGGGAAACCAAAGCACCTGTGTCCCAGCCCTGCCGGGGAACCCCTCCCGCACTCTGTCCGCCCTCTCAGCTCCCGCTGGGGCCTCCTCCCAAGCACTCACTTTGTCGAAGGACGTGCGGTTGTCGTGCTTGGAGAAGAAGTGCTGCCGCACCGGCTCCTTGAGAGCGAGAGAAGGAATGGGGACGGGGCTCACTGCCCCAGGCAGGTCCTCAGGACCCACCGCCCCAACCTGCTAACCTGCTACCACCCCAAGGACAGGCACAGGGGAAAGCAACGCCTCCTCTGGGACGCCTCGCCCTGGGACCTGGCCCAACACAGCACCTCCAGGCCGCCAGGAGGAAGGACCGGGGCCTCAGCCAGGACCTCCTGCCCCCAGGGGGGTGGCTCAGGATTCACAGAGCCCTGATCACCCAGGATTAGGCATGGTTCTCTCCTCCCCTCTGTCCACACCTACTCCTCCAAGCTCCTGACCCTGCCCACCACCTGGAAATGGACATTTTTCTCTCTAGCTCAAGCTCCTTCCTGAATTCGACTCAGCAGCTAGCCGTAGACATCTAATGCAGCGTCGCCAACCCGCAGTCCGTGATGTCCGAAAGGGTGGCAGCCGCTGGCCTAATGGGCATCTCACGCACATGGCTGAGCTCTGGCTCATTCCCCAGGCCCACTCCCGCTACATCCTCCCAGCTCAGGACTCGGTAGCTAGACCCAGCCAGCCACCACAGAGACCCCTTGATTCCTCCTTTCACACCTTACATGGACGTGCCAGGAATGCTGGTGGTGTTTCCACAAGCGCCCAGGCCCAGAGCAGCTCAGCATGGCCACGGCCTCCCCTGGTCCAGGCACCTTCCTCTCTCTGATTACTGCAAGAGCTTCACTCCTGGTATCCCTGCCTCTCAGCTTGCTCCCCATCCACTGTCCTCTCGCAGGCAGAACAACTCTTAATGCGCGAGCCCTTTCACACCCTTGTTTGCCAAAGGCCCCTCCTGTTTGTAAAAGCCAGGTCATCACAGGGTCCGGAGCCCCCTCGGCCCTGATCGCTCTTCACCTGCAGCCAGCCGCGTCCTCCCTGCCCTCGGCACACCGGCTGCTCCGCCTCCAGCCTGTGCACCTCTCTTCCTGCCTGAGGTTCTTCTGGCCATGACTCCTCCTCGCCTTCCTCCTGGGAAGTCCTCCTCAAGCACAACCCCAGCAGTCCATCACCCCAACTCTGCATTTCTCCCCTTCTCGCATCTACAGGACTATGTATTCTGGTTGGTCCCTGTCTGCTTTCTCTCTGCCTTGCTCACATCTGTAACTCTGTCGCGAGAACAGTGCCTGGCCGAATGAAGTGCCTGGTCTGAGGCGTTCAGCCTCAGAAGTGAGCAATGGCTGATGGCAGGCTCCTAAGTAAAAGGCAGGGGCAGCTTCACCCCCGATCTCTGAACCAAAATGCTCAGGGGGAGCCTGTGGTATGTGCTTTTGGCAAGCTCCTCCGCTGGGCCCTCCTCCTCAGACAGCTAGAACAAAAGCTTCAGGAAGGTGCAAAGCCAGCCAGCCCTACCTTTCATTCCTCATAACACAAGCTGACATCACCGGGATTAAAAACCCAGGCCCTTTTAGGAAAAAAAAAGGAGAAAATCTAAAGCGAGACAAAGAGTTCTTAGACTTGATCCATAAAAAAAAAAAAAGACCGATAAAAATTTGATAAATTGGGCCTCATCAAAATGAAAAGCTTTTGCTTTGTGAATGTCCATGTAGACAAGCTACAAACTTGGAGAAGATATTTGCAGCCTACATATTCAATGAAGGATTGTGATACCTGGGACACATAAAGACTCTCACGTCTTGCCGAAACCGGTTTGGCTCAGTGGTAGAGCGTTGGTCTGCTGATTGAAGGGTCCCGGGTTCGATTCCGGTCAAGGGCATGTACCTTGGTTGCGGGCATACCCCCGGTGGGGGGTGTGCAGGGGGCAGCTGGTCGATGTTTCTCTCTCATCGACGTTTCTAGCTCTCTCTCTCTCTCCCTCTCTGTAAAAAATCAATAAAATATATATTTTTTAAAAAAGACTCTCATGTCTCCACAGTAAAACAACAAACTACCCAACTAGAAAACTGGCTAATGGCATAAAGGCATTTCACCAAAGACGATATGCAAATGGCAAGTAACACGTGAAAAGTTCACCATCATTAAACATTCGAGAAATGAAAATTAACCACCGTGTGATGTCACAGGACATCCATCATGGTGACTAAAATTGAAGGTAGAGCGGTGACAAGCATTGGTGAGGATAGAGAGAACCTGGGTCCCATACACACTGCTGGTGGGAATGTGGGAGCTACAGCTACTCTGGGGAATAGTGTGGCCATTTGTTCTTAAAACCAAACATACAACTTCTCTATGACCCAGCAACTGCACGCCTGGGCATTTATCCCAAAGAAGTGAAAACCTGTGTCCACTCCAACACCTGTACACAAAGTCACGGCAGCTTTAGTTGTAAGAACCAAAAACTGGAACCAGCCCAGATGGTCTGTAACAGGTGAAGAGTTAAACAGGCACATACATCTACCCCCCGTAAGAAAGGAACGATTCATCCATACACACACTGGGCGGATCTGCAGGAAGTTCCGCCCCGTAAGAAAAACCAATCCCCGATAGTTCCACGCTCTAGTTAGATAACACTTTGAAGGGACAATATTTTAGAAACGGGGGAGATATTGGTGAATGCCAGGGCTAGAGACAGGGAAGGGGGAGGAGTGGGAGACGGGTGGGTGTGGTCATGAAAGGGCAGCACCAGGGACCCTGGTGATGTATCTTGACTGTGATTTGGGTACACAAGCCTACACAGGCAATAAAGTTCCAGATCTTCATACCACACACAAGTCCAAGGGAAGCTGGGGAAGTGTGGCGAGAGAGCAGGTGGGCTCAGGAGCTCAGGCTGAGGTCCCCTGAGAGGGGCTGTGTTTGCATGTGGGAGGCTGCCAGTCTGCAGTCACCGGGTGCTGAGGGCAGAACCTCTGAGGCTGCCTGAGGATGTGGGACAGGGACCCACAGTTACAGCACCACCAGCGACCAGCCAGCCCCAGCCATGACCCAGGACTCCAATTACATTTCCCAAGAGTCTGGCAAGCGAAGGCTAGGAATCAATCAGTCTGGTTTGGGAGAGCAGAACTGTCTTGCATCTGAATGGCCTGGATAAGATCCTGCACCCCACCGGAGAGAAGAGGGAGTGGGTGCTGCCAGTGGAGGCTGTAAGGGCAGCTGAGGGAGCCTGCAGACCCCACGCCTCTCACTGCGAGAGCATTAACGGCCTCCCTGCGCAGCCCCACTAATGGCACCCGCTTCCCGCCTGGGAGCAGCTAGCGGCTTGCATTCACACCACCTGAGCCCGCACGCAGGCCCGCTGCCGGGTCAGCTAGCCAAGTCTCCACTTCCACCAAGACGTGCCCTACCCTGGCCCTGGCGGACAGCTGAGCGGGTGCTCCAGTCTGGGGGCTCCCACACACACCCAGCAGGAAGCGGGGGACGCCTCTGTCCCCACACTACACAGGCCCTGGACTCTGGCAGGGGAGGTGGCCCTGGCTCAGCAGGCAGTGCCCAGGAGCGCCAAGGAGGTGCCAGCTCTGCAGCATGGCAGCCTCCGGACCTGCTGGGGCTGAGTCAGAGGGCAGGTCCATTCGGACCAGGCTGGGCTCCTCCCCTGCTCCCAGTGCCTCCCTCTGGCCAGGAAGCCCTGGAGGAGAGGAAGGGAGGGGAGGAGAGGGGAAGAGGTGAGAGGAGAGATGGGATGGGAAAAGGTCTGCTTCCCTGCTCCCCTGGGGCCAGCCCCACCTCTGCCCTGGCTTCCAGAGGCCATGCCTTCCCTTCGGGCCCATCTACCAGACTATCTTCCCGAGGCCCTCACCTCGCCCTCCCTACTGTACTCTCCGAGCTCTGTCCCGAGGGGCCTTCTCCCTGGGGGACCCCTCCTTGTCTCCGGCCTGAGACCTGCACCCTCCCCCTGTTTTCGGTTTTCCTCCCTGGGCTCCGGAGGTCCTGACCCTCCTCCCGCTGGGCAGGCAGGTCACCCGCGGAGAGCGGGGCGTACCTTGCATCGCTGCAGGAACACCATGGGGGGCTGGGGCTTGGCCGCCAGGCGGTATT